CTCTATTTACTAATACAGTGAAGGTCCTAGCTAGCACGAAAGGTTTTTTAAAAAAGGCATTAAATTTGGGGGAAAAATCGATCTGCCTATCCCTGGAGACCTATCGGAGGAGGAGGCACTAACTGGCTCAGTTTAGCAGCTTCTGAGATGACATGAGTTGTCACCAAGAAGTGTGACTGTGGGAGAGAGTGGAAAGACTGCCCGTTTTTTGTGGCCTAGCTGTAAAGCAGAAAGGAAAACTGTAGATGATAAAAATAATTTGTTTAAATATTAGAATGTTAATATTAAAATGTCTAAAAAGGCAGATGATTTTCTAATTTTCATTTATGTTAATTTGAGATAAAATTTTAAACACTTTTCCTTATGTATTGAAAGATGCTTCAATATTCTGTAGAAACCAACATACACAAAAAAGCTTTAGGCTCAAATGTAGAAGTTACTCTACAGAGTTGTTCCTGAAAGTAACTTGCTTCTCTGTCTAAAATATATAGCATGTTGAAATCTATATAATTTTATGAACCAACATCACCCCAATAAATTCAATAAAAATTTAAAAAGAGGCCACGAGGAACAATGAGTACAAATGGTGAGAGAAAGAGAATGGGGGGGGGGGGACAAAACTAATGAGTTTGCTTCCATTAAAGCCAAGAAAGTAAAGTCTAAAATAATAATAATAATAATAATAATAATAATAAGTAAAATATATAGCCTGCTGGAGTTGAAGGACAGTTATCACCAAAATGAACAATTCATTGAAACAATATTTTTACTGGGAGTTAGAAAATTCAAACAATTTGACTTATTTGGTGTATTTTCATCTGATCTAAATCAAGACTTGGGTATCATGTCTAGTTCATGGCTGCTTCTCTCTTTCCCTACCCCCAACAACACATCTAGCACAGGCTTGACCCAAATTTTGAAACCCGAACTAGTGTGCTTTTTGCTATTCCCCCTTCTCCGCGCCCCCACCCCGACCCCCCACTCAATGTGCTGCTGAGAGACGGGTTAAGAGGTAAGGGGACAGTCTCATCTTATTGGTGTGACGGAATTTTAAAATATAAACTTGACTAGTAAATTTGCAGATAAGTAGCACCTACATTTCAAACCAGCAATGTAGGAACAGTGTCTGACTGGCAGAGTGATACAGAAGGAAAGGCGCAGGCTTTTAGGAAAAGTAGGGTTTAAATCTTCATTCTGACACTTTTAAATTTCAGTTTTTTAAAAAATCTTAAATGGAGGTTATAAGGATTTGATGTAATATGTATATAAATATTCAGGACTCAGTAAGTACCAGTAAATGGAAGCCCTGTTTTCAAAGAGACAGGATTGTGTTGGTTCGGGTGGTGGTGGTTTTTTTGTAGTTTTGACAGTTTGTTGCAGCTTAAGTATTATGAGGTTTGGAAATGTAGTTGTGTGAAGGCTAATAAGATTATGCACCAAACATTTTTACTGAAAGACCTGCTAAGGATCCCATTTTCGGTGCCCTTTTTCCTTTCTAAGATAGCTAACCTGTTCCATGTAGATGGGGGGAATTCCTATGCGTTAGGAATTACAAGAAAAAGTGTATGTTCATGATAGAAAATTTAGGAAAACAAAAATATAAGGAAAGTTAAAAATCAGTGAGTAGTACCACCCAGTTAACACTTCCATGGATAGATATCCTTAGCAAAACATAAGCCCTTTTTTTTTTTTTTAAATAATACATTTTCATTAATTTCAAAAACCAAACTCAGAGAGGCAGATTTTTAAAATTTTTTATAATTCCTTTATTGAAAGAGTAAATATCATCCCTTTTTCTTCTTATATTTGTATTTTTTACCAAATGGGGTTATATTATTTTGTGGTGATTTTTCTTTTTTGTGTGTTCTTTTTTATTCAATGTACTGCCAACATATTCTAGTGTCAGTAAATCTTATCTACAACACAATTTTTAATAACTGGTATGCCATTGCATGGATATACTAAACTTATTTAACCAGACCCTCAGAACTTTATTATATTTCTTTTTAAAAAAATATTTGTGATAAGCAATCTTTTAGCTTCATATTTGCACAGGTGACTGGTTATTTATTGGAATTAGATTTTCAGCAGGTCTATTTGTGCTTATTTAAACTCTCTTACCACTAGCAACTTCCTGATCTTTGCTTCTGCAAATATCACCTCTTTATGGATTTTCAGACTGCCTTCTTCTTGCTCCTTCTTTGCTCCTTCTTTTCTCCATCAATATGCATAAGGCATTTTCATTCCTAAAAATCTTCCCCTCCACTCTGTCTCTCCTGCTAGCTGCTACCCTGTATTTAGTCCTTCTCTTTATCACCCATCCTACTATTGGGGCTTTTAAAAGTTTTATTCACTCCTTCATCTTCAGTGTCTGGGCCCCCCACACCGCCCTAACTGTAGAGTTTTCCGTGCTGAATTACTTGATGACTTAATTTCAGTGACCCATTTCAAAGTCTTGACCACCCATTGGCTTTTGACTCAGTCATTCTATAAAGGGTCCTTTCTCCAAGTGACACCATTTTCCCCTGAATTGACTGGTTCTTCTTTCTTGTACCTCTTTTAAATATTCGTGTACCTTAAGATTCTATTGTAAAACCTCTCTGATTCTCCCTGGACACAGCTTTTCACTCCTGTGGTGTCAGTTCTCACCCTGGTGTTAGCTCCCGAGTATTAATCTCTAGCCCTTTCCTCTTTCCTGAGCCTGCCACAATGGTACAGTTCCCACTTAGATATGCCTTAGACAACTTATTTCCTAGTCAAAGTTAATACAAGGAATTCCTTCTTTGTTCTGTATTCCCATCAGTGGCATTTCATTTAGTCCTTCAGTCTTTTGACTTTCACTTATCCAGTCTCCAACACCCAAATGATTCCCAGTTCTCTCTCTGTTCTGTCTCATCAAATCTGTCCCCTCATTCCCATCCTCACCGCCTTAGTTCAGGCCCTCTTGTCTTGCCAGGATTATGCAGTAGCTTTTCAGTCAAGTCCGTGCTCTCCACTACGGCCAGCGTTCTTTTTAAAACGCATGTCCTATCGTCACTCCATTATAACTTTCCGTGATTCCTCATTTCACATAGGCTGTAACCCAAATATCACCACGTGACTTCTAAAGCTATTTGGAACCTGGCCAGTGTTCCTTCTCTCCAGAGTGCCTTCCCCTCCCTTGTTCACCTTCACCACGGTTTACCGTCTCTTCTGCCTTTTACCCTAGTGACTGTCTCTGGACTTGTCTGCTTTAAGATTATGTTTGGTTTAATTAATAGCGTTTGAGAATTAAGGTCACTATTCTTGGGTTTAGTTTCATGTAGCATAAATGTGGAGTATGAGTACAATGGGGTCTTGTAAACTAGAAGGTCTCATGCAATATTGTTGCAAACTATTAACTGTTATCTCTGTTCTGTATCAGAATAGATGCTATGCATAAAAATTTGTATGTTGAAATTTTCCATTAGGAGGAGGTGTTAGGTGGAGGTGGAAAGGCATGTTCATAAGATCTTTTTTGGCATTGAGCTTAGCACTTGGTTTTTCAAGTTTATTCTGATTTAAACTCACCAGTTAACAGATTTAATGTTGAAGGTAAATGCATATAGGAATGAATTCATCTGGAAACATTAAAGAAAGAGATAGAAATGCTTGCTTTAAAAAGAACTTTTTCATTTGCAGGAGTAAATGTAATACTATATTTTAAGATAGCTAAAAAAGCATTTGGTTTTTAAATTCTGGTCTTGAGCTACTGAATTACTGCCTGTTGTCCACTAAATTCTGCCTTAGAGTTAATATGCTCCATATTTCTAGACTAGCTTTCTTAAATTAGTACTTGCAGTTATAGCTATGGTCCATTTCTTTAAAGTAGTCTCCTCATTTTAATATTTCTAATACTCTGGAAACATTTTTCTAACTGCAAGGGAAAAAGGAGATAACAAGTAAAGATCAGTATGTTTAGGCACACTTTTGGAGGGTTTCGTTTTTTATGTGCTACGTTCATTAACTTTTTTTCATTTTTACTGAAAAGGTCATGTATATTCTTGGTTTGTCTGATTTTTTTTTTTTAAGGGCCAAAGCTTGTCATGAAAAACAAATCTCCTTCCCTTGCCAGACCTCAGAGTGCCTTTTGCTAGTCCCCTTTCGTTGCCAGTTAACAGATGGGGGCACACTCTCTACGCTTCTGCCATTTACTTTTTAATTTAACGTATCTATATATATATATATATCAACATCTATACCTGAATCTCATTTTCTTTCATATCAGCAAGTATTAAATTATTTAATCTTCTGTTAATGGTCATTTAGATTATTTCTAGTATTTATAACTATTGCTCTTATGAATATCCTCATACACATAGCTTTGTATATCTATATGCAAATATATCTGTAGGTTAAATTCCCAGAAGTATAACTGCTGAGTTAAAGAATAAATCCAGGGTGTTGTGGGGAAGGTATATGCCTTTAAAATTTTGATACATGTTGCCAAATTTAGAGGAGTATAATTTGGAAGACGAAGATTCTCATGTAATCCTATTTTCCCTGTGAGCTATGTAATTTTTTAAGTGTTCAGGGTCAACTTTGCGTATTTATCAGCTTTATATGTTTAAATGCCTATATTTTAGTGACTAACTTCACTAAATGCAGTTTAAAATGGTTAAAAGCAAATATTAATTAATAACCAGATGCCTGTTTTTCCTTTCCCACAAAGAGTTGCTGGGGAGCATCATCTTTTCTTGAGGTTGTACTTTTTTAACAATATTAGGAGTCCCTGCTTTCTTCCTCTGAAGGTGAGACTACTTGACTCCCCCACCCCACCCCCGCAATGGATTAACTTTTGTAAATGCATCTCAAAATGAAATAAGGTTTTGCTGTCAGGTGAGTGAAGACAGTAATTGGAAATAAAGACTTGGGTTTTCCCCTCTTGCTTAAACCCAATGAAATTATGATGCTTGGCCAAATTAAAAGTTAAAATTCCTTTGTGAGGTTGTCAAATTCTCACACTGTATATTTTCTTTCAGATTCCTTTGTTTCTTCCTCTTCCTCTCAGCCTGTATCTCTATTTTCGACCTCACAAGGCAAGTCTGTCATTTTGTGTGTGTGTGCATTAATAAAAGAAAAATGTTGAGAAAGAGGCTGTAACTGGGGATGTGAGGCACAAGTATTCTATTGCCCCCAAATCCCTTTAAGTAAAAACTAATAAAAGCCAGTCCTTTGTATTATTTAGCAGTTTCCAATGGATTTCCTATAAAGGTTAATAAAGTTGAATGAGGCCAGGTGGACCCTTTAACATAGCATAAGCTTGAGATGTAGTTTTGAGTATTTCTTAAAAATCAAAACCTCTCCCAAAGAATTTGGAACAGATAGAATTGTGACTCAGAAAACAACCCACTCCCAGAATGCATTTAACTTACTGATTTGTAGGTATGTAACTGCTTTGGGGAGGTACTAGATTTGGAAAAACTATAAAAGTGTTTCCACTGCACTAGTATACTGTATTAGTTAGAGTTTTTTAGTGTACACTTCTCTGAGATTTGTCCCAAGAGCTAGGCTAGTTCTAAATTGCCTAGGAACATGGAACAAGTCAATTGACTTTTTGGCAATCAAGGCTTATTTTCCTACAGATTATGTTGTGGCCTTTTTTTTTAAGATCTGCTAACCAGTGAGGAAGGGAATCTGTGTTACCTTTGGGTTTGTGGAGGCAATATCACTGCCAAGAAGCTTGAAAAGAGTGCTGTGTGCTTCGTTGATTTGCACTAATAGTGAAGTGCTGTTTCACTTGCGCTGTTGTTATTTGACATCAAATATAGGTCAGTAGAAAACCCTTATTTTAAAAAAGGTAATTAAACTCCCTAGATAGGTCTAAGAAACCCTGTGCCAACAGTTTATTGTCCTCACTAAATTCTCTAGATACAAAGTCTAGATGCTCAGTTGTTAGGAAGACTTTGACCCTATAAGAATAAAAACATAATGGGATAAAATTAATTTAGTAAAATTTTTTCTGGTTTTGATCTGCTTCTTAGGAAACATGATGGTAATTTGTTGCTTTTAATTCAGGTTGCTAAAATTAGATCCCCAAACCCTTTATAATGTGCCTCACTGTGTGAATTTGGTAACTTGTGGTTCAAATCATGACCTTTGAAATTAATGTGTTTACATTAAAAAGTATTTTGTGAATTTTAGAAAGTAACTCGAACCTACAAAGTGATTCTTGACATCTGGAACCCAACCAAAATGATATGTTTAAGGGTTTTTTCCCCTCATTAGAAATTTAATAATTGAGGTAAATAAGTATTAACATTTATTCCACTCTGGAAAATAAACCAGTAAAAACACAATGTAAATAGAACAAATAATTACTATATTTCTCTACTGTAAATATTTCAGGTATTTTAAAATACATCCTTCGTAGTTAATAATTTTCAGTCACTTTTTTAATATAGAGGGGGTAACTGATACCCTAACGAGGGTAACAGTGCAACCCAAGCACAACATGCTGAGAAGATAACCATCATAGCTTTAAAAATTATTTTAATCCTTGTTAGGAAAAATTACACATACACTCAAGGAGAATGAAAGTCAAAAAAAGGATTTTTTAAATTAAAAACTAAGTAGGCCTCAGTTTCACAGTGAGTATGAGAGTTTGTAAAAGAAAATAGAGCTTACGTGTAAAGAGTTATTTTGACCAGTGAAGATTCAGGATAGCGTTACTGCTAAAAGGGTATTGTAGGTGTTGTAAAGAGACAGTTAAAAGTGTCATATCCCTGAAAGTGTTTCAGTCTATCCTCTATTAGGGCATTTTCTTTTGCAAAACAAACCCGTACACACAGTGGAAAAATAACCCAGCTTGTGCTCTGCTTCACGGGCAGGTCTAAAGATCAGCCTAGCCTGTTCAGTAGTTTGCAGTAACACCTTGGCAGGTGACTAGGTGTGTTCTAGGGTAGCCAAGACTGGTGTTCCTACTCTGCCTTAATAAAAATAAGAGAAGACAAAGTTGTTGGTCTACTTGATTAACCGAATTAAAACCCCTTGGGAGAAGAACTGAGACCAGCCCTGCCCAACACAGGCCTTTCGGAGTGACAGCCACCACCAGCAGGCCCCTTGAGTCGGTCCATCGCTGGCACTAACCCAGCTCACCTGTCTCTCTGGCTTGCACATCTCTTAGCCTAATACCTTGAGAATTGTGCCTCCCTTTTACACACACACACACACACACACACCCATATTAAGCAATATGTAGCCATAATTAAAGAGGACATTGTCATATTTAAGGATGACATTTTTAATCCTGAAATACATACTTAACATTGGGCTTCAGTGAGATGCATGTACCAAAAACTGTTATTCGTACTGAGTAAAGAAAGGCAATTAAGTATTTCAAAAAAAAATTATATAATATTTATTAAATTGTACTACTTTGAGGTATACAGCTACTTAAACTAGCAGTTTAACCTTTTTGAAAACTAATGAGTAGATTTGTGAAGAGAATGTCAGTGGAATAATCAGTTTTACTTTGGAGTAGATCTTTTGTTTATTGATTCCTTTTTTCTCATTAGAGTTAAATTTCAGCCTAGTCCCTGAGCATTGCAAAATAGGGGAGTAAATTTTAATAATGTCCTGTACTGTAGAATAAAGATATTAACAGAGGTGTAGATGTAGTATGTGGCTAATTTTATTGAGCTTATACAGTGTTCATTACCTTACATGAATCATCTCATCTAATCTTCATAGCCAGTTTTATGGAGGAAAGATACTAGCTCTTTTACCAATTGAGGAAACCAGGGTTTAAATGGTAAAATAACTTGCTTAAGGTCACGCTGTAAGTAACATAATAGAACTTCAAAGTCCATGCCCATAACCATTACTCACTGTAGATGATAAGGTATATTAGTTGTATTTTAGGGTTTGTTTTAAGATTTTTTTTTTTATTTTTAAGAGAAGGGAAGGGAAGGAGAAAGGAAGGGAGAGAAACATCAGTGTGTGGTTGCCTCTTGCGTGCCCCCCACTGGGGACCTGGCCTGCAACCCAGGCATGTATGTGCCCTGATGGGAAGTCGAACCAGCTACCCTTGGTACACAGGCTGGCACTCAATCCACTGAGCCACACCAGCCAGGGCTTATTTTAGGGTTTAAAGATACTTATAGAGATGTTATTTTGAGGTTAATGTTGGAGAGCAGAAGAGAGAAGAAATTACTATTTTAACCATATTATTGCTATTAGTTACACAATTTAGTATCATTTGAGAGGTGTATTTCTTCCATCAGACAGGAAATCAAACTGGAATTTGGTTTCTCCTTTCAAAACCTTTGATAAAAGTGTAGGCTAGAAAATACTATGATTTTCTTTAAAAAGTATTGAAAGAAAAGTAGGTAAAAATAAAATTGGAGAGGATCTATCCACCATGCAGAATTGGAAGCGCATTTTCAGTAATCAACATTTGCATTAAATTTCAGTAATGCAGTAGGCATCTGGAATAGGAAGTTAAACACTGAACTTTGGGGCAAACATTGAGGAAAAAAAATTTGCCAGTTACAGCCTTTTTTTTTCTTTTTTTTAAACAAAAGCAAAACATTTTTCTTTGTACAAAAGAGACTTTTTGTTTAGGATCTAGCTTGGCTGCAAAGTGTCTGTTGGCTAACTTCCTATTTTGATGCTGTGGCTGAAAGTTGCTGATGTTGTTTTGCACGAAAATTTGTCTTTACTGTTTTGTGAACATGAGAAAATTCAAGTGTAGGAAAACCTATACCTGAATGTTTCAAGCCTCCCTTGTATGAACATGCATAGTATGTATGTGAAAAAGTAACTCAGTGGCTACTTTCAGGCTGGCAGTCTTTGTTCACTGATGTGTATGGTTTTTCCGTGTTGCAGGTGTCCTTTTAATTAAAAATAATGAGTGCATAAGAGAGGTGGGGGTGGGGGGAATAACCAGTAACCACACAGTAACAGAGCTATTCACTCTTCTCAGCAAGAACTACAGGACAGTTTGGGGAATAAGAAACAGTAAAGAAAAGATATTTTGAAGCATAGACATACATTTTTATTTTCAGTTCGAATATATTGAGATATATAGCTATATATATATATACACATACTGAATGTACAGAGCATTCACTGGGAAGTTGTTTTTTCATTTTGTCGTTTTTAACTCCCTACCTTGTCCCGCAAGATGAAATACTATGGGTGTAGAAGAGGGAAAGTTCTTCCTCAATTCCACACCATATTATCTAACCAAATGCAGTTTCCCTTATTCCAATCAAAATTTCAAGTTACTGTGCTTTTAGGTGTAAAATCAGCATGTAAGTGTATTTAAAGCTGGCACAGAGGACCACTCCTGCCCCATCCCCTACAAACCTGCAAGCTGTGCTCCTGGACAAAGGTGGCCTAGTGAGGAGTGAGTGGCGGTGTCGTCTGTGGGGTTCTGCAGCTGCTCGCTCACGCGACTCTTCTAGGACTAATAAAGTACAGGCCACCGGTGGTTCTCGAATCAGGTTCATTGCCTGGGAAACTTGTCATGCAGAGTCTCCTGAGCTTTATCCTCTGGAAATGGTGAGTCACTGAGTCACAGATAAAGCCCGTGAAGCACCAGTGTTTGCTCTAAAGCTTGAAAGGGACTGTAAAAGACGGTGCCAGAGGCTGTTTTTGTGCTGGGGTATTAAGTCATTCAGCTACTCAGACATTGAACTAAAATGTACTTGGACCTGGATAGTGATAAAGATCATTTGCTAAAACATTTTGTTCAGGAAACTTTGATTCTTTCAACATTGGCCTACAATTTTTTTATATGGGCTACCTTAAATGTCTTTATCCACATTGAACCTAGCACAGTACTTGGATTATCATAGGCATTTCGTTTGTACTTACTGATTTAAAAGTTGCATCAGCCAAAATTTTGAAACAGAGAAAAACACTTTTTTTTTTTTTTTTAATGCCCTGACTGGGAATTGAACCAGCATCCCTTTGGTTCACAGACCAGCACTCTGTCTACTGAGCCACATCAGCCAGAGCTAGATTAAAAACTCTTTAAATGCCTTCCTTTTATTTGTGAATGATAGGAGGGAAATTGTCTAAAACTCTCAAGATTGTCTGTATTATATACCAGGTGAAGGTGGTTATGATATAATAATGTCCTTTTTTTCCTCTCTAATAAAAAGGCAAGTCGTCTGGAGTCTCTGTGTCAGGAGATATATATGTATACACACACATGTGTTTGTGTGTGTGTATGTAATGTGTTTGGGGATAGTGAGAATTTGCCAAGTGCCAATTACTGTTCTAAGCACTTTGCATGTATTACCTCACAGCAATTCTCAGGTTAGATGCTTTAGTATCCCCTTTTTTTTAGATGAGACTAAGCAACTTGCCAAGGCTACATGATTAATAAGTGTGATGAAAAGATTTTTCATCTTTTAATTGACATTTTTGGTTTTAGAATTATCTAGAAATTTAGAATATGACTGCCAACTTAATTTTCTAGTCTTATTTTAGAAAATAAACTTAAATGGAGACTTACAAGAATTTAGAGTTTGAGAAGATAAAGATAAGCAAGGAGCTTAGCACTGGATAAATTTGGGGACATTCTATGATCATTGTAGGGTTATGACAGTTTTACTTCTTTCATATATTGATTCCCTTCTATCAAGGGTTACCATCTAGTAATGTGTAACTCTTGTTTGTTAATAGAGGAATGCCATATTTTTAGGTGATTAGAATTCTTGAAAATGTGCACATTAAATCCCAATATAGCAAATAACTAGAGAATATTAATGATGAGGGAATTTTTTGACATTTGTTTTGAGTAATATTGAAAGTCTCTTTCTTGTATTCCAAATGAAAGGCTGAGTCTTTTGAAAGGGAAAAGGACAGTGGACATTTTCTGGGATGTAAGATCCATAGTTATTTCTTAAGCCAGTTTTACAGTGTACAGTATTTTAAAAACTAGCAATCTTCAAACTCCCTGGAGTTTTCTGCCATTTTACCAGGTACAGACTTGGACAACACCAGTGACTTTATTAAGTGCCATACTGACTAATGAGAAGAGTTTTTGCGTATGGGAACTGTTCTGAAAGGCCTATTGGATTCTGGTATTTGTTCTCTTTAATGTTTTCATTCATTTATAAACTCTTTACTTCCAGCCCAATTTTTTCCTTTGTCTTGGTACAAGTCAGAACTGCCCAAGTTTGTTAGAGTTTTAACTAACCAAGGAAATGTCTTTTCATTTCCTGAAATTCTAAACAAGATAACTAAGGCACAAACGACTTATTTTGCTACACGTGGGAAAGTTTGATTGACAGCCAGGCGAGCTGGCACCTGCAGTCCACGGTCGCTGCGGGATGGACGCAGCAGGCCCTCTGTTTGCCTGCTAAGCTTGCCCCCCAGCAAACGCTGTCCACCCCAGATATTAAGTCACAAAATTATTAGGGAACATGATAAAGTTACTTTGTATCTATAATAGTTGTATCATATTTCAGAATCTTTAGTAGTCTGTAAGGCAGTCCTGGCATTCACTGTAAGACTTGGTAGTACTGTGAGAATAAGATTTCTGACCTAATCTTCTGTCTTAACCTCAGATTATTATACATGTCACTCAAAACTCTTGGAGTATTAAGAGTTCAGCAAAGACAGGAGAGAAGCAGGCTGGGGAAACTGACAAGCATAGAATGTGCCATGCTTCCCATTACCGCCCCCGCCTCCCAACAATGTGTTTATTCTTTGATTAGCAGTCAAAGTAGGTTGCTTTTTTCTTTTCATTTCATCAAACCCGCCACCACGTCATCCTCATTTTACTTACTGATTTTGCTCATTGATTGTTTCCTACTCTGTTTTGTTCAACTGCTTTTAACCTCATTTCTGAAACGTTATCTGGCACATGATAGGCACTCGATAAATATTTGTTGAATTGGTACTAATTCATTTTGCCCACTTTGGCCTATAAGATGAGAGATCTGGATCATGTGAAATCTCAGTCTCTCTAAAACATATAAGCTGAGCATTCTCTGTAAGGTAGAGTCAGCTTTACACACCTCAAAGTTGCATTCCTGTTTGAAAGGAGGGGTCCCCAAACAGTGTTACTTTCATCCAGATTTAGTTCATTGAATGAATGTTTCCTGATATAAACAGTAACTGGTAAATTCAATAACAATACATAGCACAGATTGTGGAATATTTCTGATTTAAATGTGGCCTATATAATTCTTTAAATTTCAGGGTTTTGAACTTCTAACCTGCAACGTGCCGAGCTTCATTTATGCCCTTCATCCAGTCTTGCTGAATAATCATACTATATAATGATAGATGTGACCGTGTTTACTACAGTAGAACTAAATATGAATTACCGCTTATTTCAAATATTTTCTGTCCCCCTATGTAGTCTGTACCACCATCCTGTTTTCCTCAGTTTATAAAGACTTTTTACGCAGATTACAGTTTTACTATTCTAAAGGTCCAGTCCCTGTTACATCAGTTTTATAATAGTGGAATTTTATTCATTGCACTAAGACATTTTATTATTCCTTTTCATGTTTATAAAAGGATTTTGAATAAAGCCTTGATTTTTCTTTTGTCCAATTATTACTTAGCTTCTTACGTGAGAGAGAACATAAAATGAATAAGGATAATCCCAAAGGTTTTTCTCTTTTACATCTTCCGAATTACTCATTCGCAATGAAGCGAGTGCTGTCCAGAGTCTACTTAGGTCTCACCTGTCGAACCTGAATCATTCGTATGGGATGATTTAAGACCTTCTTAGTTCCGACTTCAAAAATCCAGCAGTGTGCAAAAAAAATGCCAAGACAGCGCGTGCCCTTGGGATGGTTGTTTTGATCTTTTTCCCAGTAAAAGCTTGCTAGATTGGGAAGTTAGAAAAGCAACGTGGTAAATCAGTGTGTACTCTGGTATTAATTGATAAACCTTAATTAATGCATACTTTTTAGGAAGGTATTTTCTGTCTTAAAAGGGTTTCTGGAGTTAACTCTTCTTAACCTAAGAAACCAATTTGCATGGTTCAGTTTGTTAAATTGGCAAGTTGGTGCAAGAGAGTTTGGAGCAGACCAGCTTTCTCATCAGTACCTTTAGTTTAAAATGTTGAGGCCACCTGTACCCCTGGACCAGTCTTCCTAGTAGTTAAAACAGAATAATTCTAGTCTGATTCTTAAGCTTGGGGTGGGGTCGGGGAGGGAGGGAGTCTATTGTATTTCCTGAAAATCAAAAGGAACTCTGGTCACTATTTTTCTTCTCAGGTTCTCAGACCAAAACAGTAGATTTATAGAAGTGGTGTGTTCTGAATTGTTCAGATGAGAGCTTATCCGTATTTCATATCAGGTTGTTTATTTTGTATGGATTGCATTGTTTCTGGTAAATAGCTCTACCAGAACAAAGGGGATTTCCCATTATCATCTCTTCTTTATGCTTTACCTTTACAATGGAAAAAGTAAACTGAAAAGTGTCATGGAAAAAAAATTTTTTTTTCTTTTTGTTATTTGCAGTTTGTAGCATGATGTGGCTTTTCTGTTCACCTTAGGCAATTTTATGCATGTCTTATGGGATAACTGTTTTGTTTCCTGTTGGTGTGTGTATATATACATCCTGTGTATATATATGTAATTTTAAAAACAAAAAGCATGCTGCTTGGCCTGACTAGCTAATGTGTAATTGTACCTGGTAAACAATTTTTTTCTTTCAAATTCTAACCATAGAGGGATTGAGCTCTCTTTGCTCTGATGAGCCACCTTCAGAAATTTTGACTTCCTCCTATTTTTCAACTTCTGAAATACATAAAACTGACCTTGCAGTACTACATGGAGAACAAAGCAAAGTGTTAGGCAGCCAGCCTATTTTGGCCAAAGAAGGAAAAGACTGCTTGGCTCTTCTAGATGTGAAAAAGATGGAAAAACCTCAGGGGACCAGCAAAGACGGAGCCAACTCCCCGGTTTCTGTTGCGGAAGGCGGTCGCTGTAGCCGTCCTTCCATTCCAGCCAGTTTCCCAGATCATCCTGCTTTTCTCTCAAAGGAAGTTGTTCGAAGCGAGAAGCAGATAAATAAAGACCAAGAGTCCAAGAACCCAAACGAGATACCAAGTAGGAATGACAACTCTGTCTTGGATGCCGATGACAAGCTTACTTTGCTAACAGCCCAGAAACCACCCACTGAGCAGCCGAAGGCCGAAGGCACTTGTACGTACTCCTTATCCCCATCCAAAGTTTCAGGAGGCGGTATTATTGAAAAGGATTCCCCTGAATCACCATTTGAAGTAATTATTGACAAAGCAGCATTTGACAAAGAATATAAAGACGCATATAAGGAGAGTGCAAATGATTTTGGTAGCTGGGCAATGCACACTGATAGAGAATCATCTGCAGACATTTCAGAGTCTAATGACAAAGTATTTCCACTAAGAAATAAAGAGACAGGGCGTTTCCCAACCTCTGCATTGCTCACTAGACAGTTTTCACACACAACTGCAGCACTGGAAGAGGTGTCTAGGTGTGTGAATGATATGCATAACTTTACTAATGAAATACTGACGTGGGATTTGGTTCCCCAAGTGAAACAGCAGAACGATCAAGCTGACTACATCACAAAAACTGTAGGATTTGACATGAGTGAATATAATTCAGAAATTCCCGTTGTAAATCTTAAGACTAACACTCATCAGAAAATTCCCGTATGTTCTATTAATGGGAGCACTCCCATCACTAAATCAACAGGTAACTGGGCAGAAGCGTCTCTCCCACAAGAAAATGCTGTCATTGAAAAACCTATACCAGACTCTCTTGATTCCACAACAGACATCAGTATCAAAGGTGTGCGAGGCAATGTGCAGAAACAAGGTGACACACTTTCAGAGTTACCTGGATCTCCGTTTGAGAAATGCATCTCTGTGGGCTCTGGAATGGCCACAGTAAAAGTGTTTTTACCTGATGGCCACCAGAAAGGTGAAATGACCTGGCAGAACGCTATGTTGGGAGAAGTGACAGAGGCTGATAGTTCTGGTGAGTCTGATGACACAGTAATAGAGGACATCACAGCCAGTATTTCATTTGAAAGTAACAGAATTCAAGCTGAAAAACCTGTTTCCATTCCAAGTGTTGTTGTAAAGGCAGATGAAAAAGAAATCAAAGAGATTCTCAATTATAGCAGAGAAACCAAAACATCTGAAAACTTTGAAAGGTCAGTCAGTGACTCTCAGCCACAAGTTAAGCCTGATATTGTTGCAAGGAGTCCAGCTGGTATGGCAGCAGGTTCCCCAGTACCTGATATGAATGTTATGTCAGAAAATGTGAAGCAGTCAGATAGAATGAGCGATATTATTCCTGAAAAGGCCGTTACAACTGAGGATCCAAAACTTCCTTCAGCAGCATCTTCAAATGTTAATGAGACAGAATTCTCACTAAATGTGACAGCCTCTGCCCATTTGGAGTCATTAGATGAAAAAAGTATTAAAGATATAGATGATTCTTCCCCAGAGGACCTGATGGCCGCCTTTACAGAAACCAGGGAGAAAGGAATGGTAAATAAAGGCAAAGGAAACGCATTTGAAGCAACATCAGAGAAAACAGTGGACTTCAAAACAACCCTTCCTATAGAAGTCTTGTATGAAAGTGGGTCAAGTGGTTCTGAAGTTAAAGACATGAAAAGCAAATACTCTCATCAAAGCAAAGAAATAAGTGGAAGTGAGCCTCTGGATGCTTTCCCTGCCCAGTGTACTTCAGTTGCATCTCTTGACTTAGAACAGGAACAGCTCACAATCAGAGCCCTTAAAGAACTGAGTGAAAGGCAGGCTGAGAAGTCTGCTTCTGCACGGGATAAAGTAGAACCTCGTTCTGAAGAAACACTCAAACAGATTTTCACATTTGCTCCAGAATCTTCTCAGCCACAGAGGTCACATGATGTCCTAGAACACACAGATGTCCAAGGATCTGATTTTGGGATTTCCAAAAAGCCCACTATTATCAAAGAAACTTCTAGTGTAGATGTTACTTCCAGCCTTAGCAAGACTGAACTGGTAAACAAGCATGTTCTAGCAAGACTTCTGGCAGACTTCTCAGGTAACCATTTACACTGTACACTGGGAAAGGTAGATTTTTTGGTTTTTTTAAATGGTACCTTGACTTGGTTTTCTTATACAAATATTTCCCAAAGCAGCATACCACTTGTTAAAACCAATATTCTCCTAAAAAAAAATTTTTATACTCCGGTTTTTTATGTGTTCTTTCCTTATAGGTTGAATGCTGCTTTTAACAATATCATTAGGCCCTTATTTATTTACAAAACTTGTCTTTAAATCTCCAAAATAGTAGACTACTTAGCAGTTGGGGGTTTTTGCTGTGGGCCTTACGAAGTCTATTTGGCAATCAAAGATAAAGGAATTCCTGCTGGGATAGACAGTAAATGAAACTTTTAATTAAGTTGATCTTATACCATAGAGATACTATGCTCTGAAAGTAGGTAACCTGTATTGTAATAGTATTTTGTGAGTAATACTTAAGAGACTTCATGTGTTCTTCTACTTTAGACCTTATTTAATACTTTCAGGCCAAACTCATTATATAGTACTAGAAGCCGTTTTCTTCTATTTATTTGAATGATTACTTTTTTAGCAACTGGCATTCAGTTAAATTACTTCAAATGCTGTCTGTTCTGAGGTCTTAGAAAGTGTAAGAAAAGAGGATATTTAAGGCCCTCTGAGAGGGACCATCAACCTCTAATCTGATACCCAGTTCTGTACTTACTTTATGGTCGTTGTTAGGCGCTATGTGGGGATCTATTGTTTTTCAAACTTTTTTGACAATGGATCTCTTTTTTTAAATGAAATTATGCAGGGAGTGATAATATTTAAAATAAAAATGGTATTTTTGTTATTACAAACTTGTAAGTATGATTGTACAGACCACTTACCTTTTTTCCTGTAAGATTTTATTATTCAGAAGGTGAGGAGGGGGCTCAGTCCGTAGCAGCTGGTTTCCTCTCCTCTTTGCAGCCAGATCACTCCTCTGGCAGGGGTGCCCCTCAAAAGGGGAGAATCAGACACCTCTCGGACCTTGTCCCTCACTAATTTGCACTAACTTGGTGTGCTTGGTGAGGCACCTGTGTCCCCATCTGTGCTTGGCTTCCTAACATTCTTGCTCACTTTGTAGCCAGAGAGCCATTGCGGCTGTTCTTCAGTGGCTGCTTTGGCAGAAGAGCACCATTTACTTTTTATAAAATTCATTTCCTGACTAAAGACTATGAGAAGGTAACGTGATCTTCCTAAATTTTAATCCTTAAAATAGAGATAGTAATTTATAATAGTATTGTAAGGATTAAATATAAAAATGCAGATAATACAGTGCCTAGGACATAGTAAATGTTCATTTAGCAACAAGTATAAGACATGGCTGGATAATTATTTGTTAATTAATTGTTAACTAAGTGAATGAATTGTTAATAATTATCAGTGACAACATCAAGGCTTTTTTATAAACTCAAAGATTTAAAATGGCAGTAAAGGACAGCTGTTATTCCCTAGTAATTGAAAATTATTGAACTTAAGTTTAGGAGTGCTAACTTCTCATTGTTGCCTTACTGTGTCTAGAAGTGTGACATTGAACAGTTAAGTCACATCACCTTTTGGGGATTCAGTTTCCTTCTCTGTAAAGTAAAGATGTTGAAGTAGGTGATCTTTAATATCATTTCAACAATATGATTCTCTGATTCTGGTTTATCTTAGGTTTCATCATGAGTTGTTACAATTCTTACAAGTAGTTCTTTTGAGTGATGAGGCATATGGGAGTTAGGCTACAAGAACCCCAGTGTCTAATTCTGGCAAGTTCCTGCTTTAGTGTGACCTTAGACAACTAGCCTGACTGGTTCAGCATCTTCCTTTGTTAATATGCTGATAATTATTTTGCCTTGCTTTATAGTGTGGTAGTAAATAAAGTTCTGTGTAAATACTAATTAGTAATTCTCAACTGAGTTACTTAACCTAGCGTGAGAGGTAGAAAGAGCCATGGAAGTTTAAGGTATTTGTCACTGACCAAATTCTATGATTAGTAGACATTTTTAGATGATAATTAAGGAAGACCAGTATAATTAGACCAAGAAGCTGACACGTCTTCCTTTGTGATTTCAGAATTGAAAACCTTTTTAAATTGTCTTATTTTATGAATAAATCTTTTAAAATATGAAATAATGTAGTAAAATATCAGTGTCTAGTTCTTTTCCAAGTGCACATTCACCAATAAAGATAATATGGTATTCCATAAAACAACTCAGTAAATTTAAAGGATTAAGATAATATATGTTCTAAGACCATAATGAAAGTAAATTTTAAAACAAGGAAAATAAGATACCTAGGAAAATTTCCAAATATTTAGAACTTAAGCAAAGACACTTTTACATAATCTGTAGCTTAACAAAATCACCAAAAACAAATTTTGAACATTTTAAACTGAATTACAATTAAAATACAATATATCGAACTTGTAGAACACAGTGCTAAAAGGGAAACTTATAGCTGTAAATACTTAGGTTAGAAGAGAAGAATGCCAATTATCTAAGGTTTCAACTTCAAAAGCTAGAAAAAGAAGAGCAAAATAGAAGGAAATTACAGTAGTAAGAGCAGAAAACAGTGGAATAAAAAACAAAGTAACTGCCAAAATTTGGTTTTAGAGAAGATCAACAAAGTTGATTCCATGATTAATCAAGAAAAAAAGAAAACATTACCAATATCAAGCATTAAAAAGGGGTTATCACTTAAGATCCTGCAGATATTAAAAGAGTAATAGAATGTTATAAACAACTTCATGCCAACAAATTTATCAATTTAGATGAAATGGACAAATTTCTTGAAAAATACCTTACCAAAGCTAACACAGTTTCCATTAAATGTTATCAAAAATCTTACCAAAAAAATGTCTTGGCCTAGAAGTTCCACTAGGGGATTCTTCTCAGCGTTTAAGGGAAAAAAGGAGAAAAATTTTCTAATAGACCAGTAGATAATAACACCAAAACTGGACAAAGACACTACAAAAAAAATTATAGGTTAATATCCTTCATGAACATAATAAGATGAAAAATTCTTAACAAAATATTAGCAAATCAACAATATATCATCAAGATTAATGCATCATGGCTAAGTGGGGTTTGTTCCAGGAATACAAACTTGTTTTAAGATTGGAAATTTAGACCTAGCTGATGTGGTTCAGTAGATTGAATACCAGCCTGCAAACCAATGGATCACCTGTTTGATTCCTGGTCAAGGCACATGCCTTGGTTAGGGCCATGTTCCCATTTGGGGATGTGCGAGAGGCAACCGATCGATGTATCTCTCGCATACTGATGTTTCTCCCCTTCTCTTTCTCCCTCCCATCACCTCTCTCTAAAAATAAATAAAGTCTTTTTTTAAAAAAGATTGGAAATTTAGTCAACATACAGTAATTCACCACATTAACATAATGAGAGAAAAAAACTATGTGATTATTTCCATTGTTACAGAAAAGACGTGAAAAAGCCCAACATCCTTATCTGGTAAATGGCATTTATTGAAAAGTACAACTGACATTGTATTTAATGCCAAAATATTATTGAACACTTTTTCCCCTAAGACTGGGTAAGGCAAGGATGTTCACTCTGAGCATTTGTATTCAACATCATACTGGAGGTCCTACCCATTGAATTAAAACAAGAAATAGAAATAAAAGGAATGAAGACTGGAAAAGAAGTTGTTAAGTTGTCTTAATTTGGAGATCACATGATTGTTTACATAGAAGATCCTAAGGAGTCTACAAATCAACTAATAGGAGTAATAAGTGAATTTAGCAAGGTTGCAGGACATTAGGTTAATAAACAAAACTACCTGAGAATAATCAGTAATGACATTTTTAAAAAGTTTTTACAGTAGTATCAAAAGCATAAAGTAGGAATAAACTTAACGAAAATAAATGTATAAGATCTTGTACTGAAAACTACAAAACTTCAGAGAGAAGCTGAAGACCTATTTAAGAAGAGAGCTACATTGTATTTGTGGATTGGAAGCTTCAATATTGTTAACATCTCAGTCCTACCCAAATTCAATACAACTAAATACATGAACTCAGTACAACTCAATGGATTCAGTACAACTCAAAGTCCCAGAGCAGTTTTTTTGTTTGTTTGTTTGGGGGGGGGGGTTATAGAAATTGATAGGCTCGTTGTAAAATATGTATGGAAATAACACAGAACCTAACAAATACAAAAGCCATCTTGAAAAAGAACAAAATTGGAGGACTTAGAATACTCACATCAAGACATTATAAAATTTTGCCCTGGCTGGTATGGCTCAGTGGATTAAGCGCCAGCCTGTGAATCAAAGGGTCGCTGGTTTGATTCCCAGTCAGGGCACATGCCTGGGTTGCAGGCCAGGTCCTCAGTAGGGGGCATGTGAGAGGCAACCGCACATTGATGTTTCTCTCCCTCTCTTTCTCCCTCCCTTCCCCGTTCTCTAAAAATAAAGTCTTTTTTTTAAAAAAGACATTATAAAATTTCATTAGTAAAGAATGTGATACTTGCAAGAGTCAACAAATAGATCAAAGAATTCAGAAATAACAAATTACCACAAATTTAGCAACTTAAAACAATACAACTTTACCTCACAGTTTTTGTGGATCAGAGGAGTCTGGGCACAAGTTAGCTGCATCCTCTGCTCAGATTCTCGCTAAGCGTGAACTAGGATTGTGATCTCCTCTGAGGCTCAGGGTTCTCTTCCAAGCTCGCTGATTGATTGGCAGAGTTCAGTTCCTGGAGGTTGTAGGACCAGATCCCCATTTTCTTGCTTACTGGATGTAGACTGGGGGCACGCTCAGCTCCAAGAGGCTGCATTCAGAGCCTAGTCTCATGGCCCTCTCACAAAATGGTAGTTTCCTCTTACAAAGTTATCGGTTTCTCTTTAGTCTGCTTCAGGATCTTATACAACGGAAATGTAAACAAAGAGTGACTATCCCATCATATTCACAGGATCTCACATTTGGGGCCAAAAGGAAGTATTATACAGGACATGTACACCAAAGGTCAAGAGTTTCAGGGGCCACGT